TGAATACCTTGGAAGTCGGTAACGTAGGACAATGACGGCTCGGAAGACATAATACAAAGAATTGCCAAACCAGTTGGGTCACTGTCTTCTTTAAAACGTACGTAGAAGTGAAAAGCTAACAAGAGAGAACAAGATCAGGACCCTCAAGACGTGCGTCTTCAGTGTGCTTTTGCATGGTTCAGAAATACGGAATTTAAAAGTTAATAAAAGAAAACTGCTAGCATTCGAGATGAAGTGCTACCGGAGAATATTGAAAATCACCTACAAAGATATGACACAAAATGCTGACATTAGCAAGGAAATAAAGGCACAAAAAACTGTCATAGAAACGATAATGAAAAGAAAACTTAGGCTGTTGTGTCATATCTGCGGGATGGATGACAGCAGACTCCTAAAACACACACTATTTGTGACAACGGAAAGTAAATCTAAGAGAGGAAGACCGTGTAAGGGATGACTAGATGACATCACTGAGTGGTGTAATATGAAGCCCCAAGACTTGTTCTACCTAGCCCAGAAAGGAAAATGGTGAAGAAAATCGAATATAGCCGTGGTTGGCCTCAACGGGTAATAAATCTACGGAACACTATTACTATTATTTTTATAAGGCCGTTTACGACCGTATCTGATCGTCGGAAAGCTCATCCTGGGATATATTGGAAAGACATCGAAATGAAACACAGAAAAACACAAGATTTATCCCAAAACTGAATACGATCGGAAAATCACCAAAGTCAAACAACGAAAGTCTTACTTTACTCAACTGAGTTGGCTGCCATAAAAATAGAATAGGTGAAATATAACAATATGATGTTGCGTTCTACACCTTTTATACAAAGTTGCTCTCTTCTAGTGACTATTTTTTCATCTTTCTGTTCATGAAAGAGAAACATAGAATAACGACGTGCGTAATTCACCATTCGATCGTGCATGTAAACAAACCCTCCAGGTCGTTGGTGTACTGCACGAAATGCAAAAGTCTCATTGCGCCATTCTGTTTCAATTGTGAATGTTTATCAGATAAAAGACGTCCGTGGAAAAGAAAAAAAAACACTTTCTCTCATCACAGTAATGGGTGTTTACACACAAATACAGTAACGAATAGTATGAAATATGCACACAAGGGCGTGCGTGACGGTGCAGGTGGAGGTGTAGGCATCACAGCGTGAATCTGCGAGTGCGTGCATATAGGGTCTGGATGCGGGTGTGCGTGTGGGTGTGGATGGGTGGTGCGCATGAGGGTGAGCGTGAATACTATTCTAATCCGCACCTCCACCAACACACCCACACCCGCACTCACTACACCCAGATCCGTACCGACACCCACACCCACACCCACACCCTCAATATATGCGATTTCAAAGAGTTCATTGGCTACAAAACACATCTATTGGATTTTGAAAAGTGTTAAGAGGATAAAGCGATATTTATCAATCCCATTCGACTCTTTCCTTCGTTTCTTATTGAAATATGTATTCGAAAAGTCTCCTTATGAGTCTCACTTATTCTACTATGGAATAATATTTTTTAGTAATCCTTAGCTTAATTGTTGAATGCGAATATCTCTCGAAAGAAATCTCACATCCACTCCAAATGAAAACTGAAAAGTTATGAGTGTATAGAATAATATGCCGTTGTTGATTGAAATGCTTTTTCTGCATCGTACACTGTTTGTTTAATTTGTTTTTATGCCATGTTGGTTACTTTAACAGTATCCCAGGTCCATCATTCCGGTCGTCTGAAACGACGTCTTAAAAGGCCTAAAACGGTGAAAAAACGACGTAATTAATGCCCTAAACGATGAAAAACGATCGCCGTTTTTCACCGTTTTTTGACCGCTTTCCGTCAGCTCGGATTGAGGGCCGTTTTTCCCCGGAATGTAAACGACGCCGTTTAAGGCCGTTTCCGGCGAGCAACGATGAGTAGTATTATGGCAGTATTCTCGTCCTATAGTGTCTTATTTACACCGGGTTTTCTCGTTTACGACTTTATATATCTTTTGCCGTCTGTCCTCAGTGAAGAGGAGCACAATATTTCGTCCCCTCCTCACCTTCCGTAAACACAACAAACATTATTTATTTATTTAACTAAAATACTTACTACTATATATTTCATTGAGATAAATCTAAATAAAAAAGTAATAAATTTATTTATTTAAATAAAATACTTACTGTTAAACAGTTAGTTGTGATAAATCTAAACAAAAACAAATATATTTAAGCAAAATACTTACTATTGAATATATCGATGAAATATACCTAATTAAAAAAATACATGTATTTATTTAAATAAAATACTTACTGTTTTGTATCTCATTAAGATAAATCTAAATAAAAAAAATATATTTATTTATTTCAATTCAATACCACTAAATATTTCATTGAGATAAATCTAAATAAAAATAAAAAATAAGTATACTTATTCAAATACAATACTTACAGTTGAACTAGATGGTGAAAAGAATCTGAATAAAAAAAAATATAATTTTTTTTTAAATACGTAACGACCAATCAATTATAGATCATTAGAAAGTGTCTAATGATGATTTTAGGACACTTTTTGAAACGATAAAAAACGGTGTGGAAACGGCAAAAAAACGACGGTCATAACGACAATCGTTTCCGCTAGTGCGTAAACGATCACCGTAAAGATCATCGTTTATCGTCGTATTTCTCCGTTTTACGGCAAACCGTAAACGATCATCGTAACAACAGCCGTTTTTCACCGTTTTCAAGTCGTTTAAGGCAGTTTACGAGCCGTTCTGTACGACATGGGATGTTGACTATTTTTAGTTCGATTTTTGCCTGCTTTGCCTCTCTTTTTCTTTCGTCTTTTTTCTTTAAATTCTTTTTAAAAATGTGCTCTCTCAAAAATTATTACACATAGCAACAGTGAAAAAGAAACAAAAAAAGTTTGTTATGTAAAAAACTTCATTTCAATAAGATTTTGAATTACAACTTTTACAAAACTATGAATAAAAGAAGATTATTAACTCAAATAGAAATATACTCAATGTATGCTGTAACAAAATATACAATTTTTAATAGGTGTTCAGAGAAGAGACATGAATGAATAATACCTTTTATTCCCTGCTGTTAATTATTTGTGTCTCGTATGAATGAAAGATTGATAAAAAAAAACTATTCTTTCCTTCTCATTATTCATGTCATGGAATAAATTATCAAACTTTATTTTCATTTCCAACAGGATTAAAATAAAATAAAGTTTATTAAATTATAATTCATGAAGCAAAGAATATAAATAGTGATCGATACAAAATAAGTTATAAGTCTAAACTTTTATTCGAATGTAGAATTAATTATTACAACAACTGCATGTTTCTAAGTATGTATAAGTCAGATATTCTAAAAGGAAGAACATGACATACAGTTGTTGATAGTTTGTTGATGTGCTTCGTCCATATTGAAATAGATGCAAAAATGAATGACTAGAGCAAAAGACAAGACGAAATAAATACATAAAAAAAATAATGTTATTACTTTTTTGCCATTAATAGACGGAGATATAATTGTAGGTAAAAATAGATGAAGACACATTGAATCGTATAGTACAAGTTTTTACGACTTGATGTTTTTTCAAGGTTTTCAATTAACCTTTTCGAAAACTAACATATCCTGTGAGGTGACTACAATATCAGGTATGCATCCAAATCGCTAGTGGAAAATCTATAAAACTACGCGGAAGTCTCAGATTTTTAGACTTAAGTATTCTAGTCGAAATTCTCGACCGATGTTTCAAGCAATTGCTGTGAAAAAAAAACCAACACATTTTTGGTTTTTCTGAAAATAGCTTATTTTTCAAGGAGATGATGACAGAAATCATCAAAAAAATTTGGCAAAAAAGGAGATGCTAAATAAAAAAAGCTTATTGTTTCTGAAAGAGTAGATCACGAACTATCTTTCTCTACATTTATCTTAATTTCGACCATTCTGACGGAAATTGACTTTTTTGGCGAAGAAGAAGACCTTAAATGGATTGTATGATAATAAATTATACTGGCAACAATAAGTAAATATTCAAAATCTCAGTCGAAGTTTGTCTAAGAAGAACGAAAAAAAAAATTCTCAAATTAATAAATATTGACATTATACTCTGTGTCATGAAAATTGAACGAAGCATAAAGTCAATTGTAGTTACCGCGACGATGCTTTTACAATGTATTATTACTTTTCATTTTTCTCTCCAAACATCGTGAGTAATCTACCGTATAAAGCAAAAAGAAACATATTAAAACGAAAGAACCCCAACCGCACACACAGACACTTTAAAATAACCATACATTTCAACAGAATAAATATATTAAAACTTTTCATTCATGTCGATGAATATTATTTCAAACTTTCCTACATTATCAACAAGATTCCTTGATCGGATTCTTGTCAATCTTAACTATTTAACTATTTTATGCTCGATACGATATCAGGTAAGTTATTTCTATATCTGAAGTTTTTATTTTCATTCTCTGCAAAATATTACCCGTTTCTATATCATATCTTATGTGCGTTTGGCTATAGTATGCAGGAGAGAAGAGCAACATTCACACTCCATACCCACATCGATTCCTACCCATACTCCTCACCTCATACCAGCGCCACCGACACATCCACCCCAAATATACATAAAGAATTTGAAAAGAAATTTTTGCAATATAGTCATTTTCTTTCCAGTCGACATCTCGTGGCATTTTCTATTTTGTCATGGCACTTATTCTATTTGGCTCCATTCTTTTCATATTACCAAGATTTGACAGTGTCAATTTAATGAACCCGAGTCTTAGGATGGGTAGTTATGCTAGAAAAAGAATTATTTGTAATATTACTATTAGCAATAAAACAACATTAAAGATTCTTCCGATTATAAAAACTTATGAAAATTCAACTGCATACGGTGTTAATTATAGTAAATATACTTCTTATTTATTGAAGCGAAATTCTTTTGATAATTTAAGTCAATTTATTAATTATGTCAAACAGAAGGTAATGTCACGAAAAATCATACATCAACCGCCAGGACGATTTCTAACAACAGTTTTTCATTTTCCACCATATCCAGATATGATTGTTCCATATTGTGATGGTCTTTGGATGGAATTTGGAGTATTTAGTGGTCATACCTTGAATCATGTTGCACGATGGAGATCACTCTATTGTGGAAATAATAGTGGTCTCGTCTATGGTTTTGATACATTTACTGGTTTGCCAACTGATTGGCGGCCAGGATTTCCCAAGGGCGCCTCTGCTGTTAATCATAGTCAACTTCATATTGAATCAAATGTAGCATTGGTCAAAGGACTTTTTATAGATTCACTTCCACAAGAACTTTTGAAACATAAACACACACCAATCTCATATGTTCATATTGACTGTGATATTTATGAAGGTGCACGAGATATACTTTTCCTATTGGCAAGTCGATTTGTAAGAGGAACATTACTAATCTTCGATGAACTCTTTAATTATTCACAACATGGAAAACATGAAATTAAAGCATTATTTGAATTTTTGGTAGCAAATTATAATCTACAACTGGAAGTACTTGGTTCAGCGTATCCTATTGCATTTGATGATATTGAAGGAAGTTGGGAATCACAATCAACGGATTTTGTCGTTGTATAACAAGTTTAAAATAAGTGTTTCTGAAGGGCATACGAAGTTATGAGATACAAAGAACGCAATTTTAGATTGGTATGTGGAAGACATTGACTTTCAAAGAGAAATGCACTTATGGTAGAATGTCATCTTTTTATAGATTTTTTTAAAATGTGCTGCTTCCTATTACGTTGAAAAAAAAAGAAATGAAATCGATACGATTTTTTAATTTTGGTTTTTGAAAGATTTAGAGTCTATTAATCATGTTCGCCTGATTCAAAATTCTTCTAATCTGTTAGCTATCATCTTCGAATACTTTTCTGACAGCTAATAAACGTGCTCATCATCATCTGATTACAGAAAGTTCGTTTGAAATAGGAACGAACAATAACAACACTACATTCCATTTTTCTGGATGCAAAACATTTCAAAGAACAAGCATTCGAAGAAAATACTTGTTCTTTTGAAAGAATGCAATGCTAGAACTATGGAGAAATTTAATATTCTTGATACTTCTCAAATATATACAGAATATTTTTCTATAATTCAAGGAAAATAGTAAGTTATAAGGCGAGGTTGTCTATCTCGTCATCCCACCTCAAAACAATGCGATCAATACGTTACGATAGGAATTTAGATACATGATTTTAATGCCGCTGACAATCATAGTAACATTGGCGAAGATTCAAGAGTTAATCTTAATAAGAAGAGATCACAATGAATTGATATCGTATGAGAGTTAACAAGGAATGATGATATTTATTTAATATTAGCTACTCGCTTTAGTATAATTATCATACTTGGATTACATTGTATGGTTATCCAAATAATATTTAGAAATTCTCTATTTTAAAATTAGATGTTTTTATTAGAATATTGTCTCATTTTAAAATAACAAAGTATGTATCTCTAAAACATCTATTTTCTTAATTAAATCATATCTATTTAGGTACAGAGATATGCTAACATTTTCTAAATTAAAATAATTTCATCAATTTTTATATAATTGAATTAATTATGTCTTCTGCATAGATTCTATAGTTATAAAATAGTCAAGTATATGCTTATTGTTATGATGACGGCGATAGCTGTTGAATATTTAACTCCTTGGGTCTATGATGTTGACACATATTATAAAGCAGGTCTGATAATTGTCCATTTATTCATCTGGCAGCTGATCGAACTTGTATTCCAACGGATGTGGCACGACTTGCATCACCTATTCTACTTTTCGAACAAGAACCATTATGTGTGTTCGTTGCATTAGGTGTTCATTAACAGATGATATTATGGAAAAGTTTATATCATCTTTTTTTTTTCTTCTTAGGTCTGGAATTCCACTCCACTTCTTTTTCCTCCTTTTCCTCTTTTCTCACGACAAAGTAGGCTGCTGGCGAAAACATTCTTGAATATATTGATTAACGTTACTATATCATACAAAAATATCACATAACACAAACTGATGTGTCGATTAATCGAGTTGTATAGTTACGGAGACTAAAGTATATAACTTTAGTGATCAACTCCAGCAATATTTTATATTCCTAATTGAGACTCAATTTTTATAGTTTTCTAGAGGAGGCAAAATCATTTAATTATATTTCCGATGTGAATTTATCATTTTCTCACGATCTGGCAAGTTGTTCTGGTTAAGATTAACATGTAAAATGATAATCTTGAGCTTACTTTTCTTGACCATTTTTCTCGGCACCAGAGAGGCTTATGATGTAAATTTAATAATGGATAACTAACTCATAGTGTAACACATGCGTCAAAGTGAGAAGAAGTCTCTAGAATGGCTAGACCTATCATAAAATTCTTTCAGATCCGACAGGATTTCTTCGGCAAGATAGTTTCCGGCAGTATGATGTCATAAGTTGAAGACTTCTGCTTATCAGACACCGATAAAGGTTCTCATGTTGTATTCGGCAATATTTGATCCTTCAAAATTACTGTGTTCATTACAGACTCTGTAGTATGCTGCCAGATTATCTTATGCGATTGATTTACAGTCAAAACGAAGTAATCCTTCTCCTTCCGAGTTTCTCCGTGTACAATCACATTTTGGACGATCGTATGTCTCTCCAATCCGTACATGGAGAAATATAATCGTATGCGAAGAAATACAGAGTAAAATGAAAGCCGTAGACGAGCTTTGTTTGTCCATGAACGATCGTATTTCTCCGATTACAAGCGTGTTTGCTTGACATAGGTTAATATTGACAACGATTTGATGATACTTGGACGAAATCAGATATGATAGAATGCGATAGCAATAAACAGGGACACCCCGATGATCAAAACGTAGGGGATCATAAAATCTACCCAATACAAACAAGTTCTTTTCTACAGAACGCAGAAATATGACCATATTTCACTGAGAAAAATCAAGCGTTTTCGATAGCACGGTGTCAAACGATTTCTTACAAATCCGCTGTCTAGACACCATTGCAACGCATGTATTAATTTACGCTAGGAAACGGAAAAATGAAACTGACTTGTGAAAAATGATCAAAATCATGGAAGAATTGGTGGAAATTGAAAAAAACAAAAAAATACCTTTCCTACATGCACAGTCATCTGAAAAAAAGAATAAAAAGCAAAAAAGATATTTAATGAATTCTGATCGTTTCTATTTCTGTGTGCCTACTTAGTGAGACAGAGTAATATTATAGTCAGATACTACGCAAATAGAATAGACTATTCTTCTAATGTTTTTCCGTTTTCTAATGCATACATAACTAATTGTACAAACATCTCAATCAACAAGCGGAAGCTTCGTTTCTTTTTTAACTTGTTCAAATCATATTCAACGTGTATTGATAACGTACGAGTTTTATTGGATTTATACTACTATTGTGCCGGTGGGTTTTAATTTTCTTCGGACGAAAACTGTATGCCTTTTTTTCTCTTTTTTTACAAAGTGTTGGTGGAATGCCAGTTCTTAGGTTTATATTGTTGTAATACGATCAATATTTTGGATTATATAACAAAAATCAAAATCATATGATCTTGATATAGTTGTAGGAGAATATTTGAATAATACAGAATTAAAACAATGTACGAAATGTATATTAGCTATTTACGATGATATTAACATAGTTTTCTAAGATCTCAACCTTATATATTTCTATGATCAAAGCATAATTCATAGTTTTTTTTCACACGCGATATAAATAATCCGTTTAACATATGCAATTTTTTTTTTGTGAAGCTGTCTTATTAACCTTCTTGATTGTTCAAGTAATATTCACTAGCATAAATGAAAAAATAAGATAATGAATAATAAGTGAAAATTCTTTTTGATTGAAACAACATAAGCTGTTCGTATAGAAATGAAGAATGATTATTTCGATACGAATCCCTGGATATGTCTCAAGAAATGTGCTTCTTCTTTTTTTTTCTTTTTCTCTCTCGATAGACATAATAGTCAGTAATATATTTTTCAACCCTGTAGTGGGCACGTTTATCTATTGTAATGAATTCCATGATATCAATGTTGCGTTATAATTTTATTATACTAGAACTTATTGCACTAATATTAGCAAGTATTGCTATTTCAACTTGGTGAGTGTTTTTTTTTTTTATTAAGATTCTAAAATATTTTATTTATTAAAGTTCATGGGAAAAAGTTATATTGAAAGATTATGAAGCTGTTCAAGCTATTTATCAATCACCATTATTAACAGCATTAACAACTTATGATAATATAAAAATTAATTATGAAAATGCTACTGGTTATATATTAAAGATTAATTCAGGATTAATGGATATTTGTACATATCTTCGTCAACCAAATCATAAATCATTTGGATCCGGTCATTGTAAACAAATAATTGCTCGACCTTCTATTGGTAAGAAATTCATTGTGTATATGTTATTAAAAAAAAAAAAAAAGAATTATTTTCTATAGGTCTTGCTATTATTGGTATAATATGTCTTGTCATAGGAATAGTTTGTACTGGTAAAATATGTTTTATATATTTATTTTTATATAAATTATTTAAATAGGTTTTGCTGATGAAGAAAATTGTAATAATCGTGAAGCAATTTGGTTATTTTATTGTTCAGCTATTTTTACTGGATTAGGTGGTCTATTTCTTTTTACATCTCATTGGACATATTCAATAAGTTCAGAATTACAATTACCAACAATATATATTCGATATGGATTTTCTACTTATTTAATTGTTATATCAGCTATTATAAGTTTACTTTCAATGAGTCTTGTTCTTTGGCGAATGGTAAGTATTTAGATTTTTTTTTGTTTAGATGATAAACTTGAACACAAAAAAAAAAAACGTAATTTATTTATAAAACAGTATCTACGCAGGGTTTATGGCAATCATCAATCAAAAATGAATTCTACTAAACGACATGTGTATCGAAAAATATCAAATCGTCATTTATGAATGAATGATTTTTATTTCTTCATTCTTTTCGATATGTATTTTTTTTTTCATTTTATATTCATTATAGACTATATCTTAATTGTATTATTCGTGTTTTGTTTTTTAATATGATTTATTTTGATTTTGTGAAATTAACCTGTGACAATAAACTAGAATATGAAGAATTTGTAATAAAAAAATATGATAATAGATTAAATTGCTTCTTGCCAGATTGAACTTGATTATTAACACTTTTTGATAGATCGATGATGCTAACATTAGAAACCAGCGTGAATTTTTTAGATACAATGATTTTTCGCTTGGGTATCCATCTGCAACATGAAAAAGTACTGGTAGTATGAAAGGGATGTGGATATTGATATTCATTTGAACTCTATTCACACCTATACCCTTCGAAATCTATCACGGAATAATAAACTGTGGTAAACCTTTTCAGATAGATAGACGATGGTATGAGGAACAAATATTTGCTTCGCTCTCGAAGTTCGCAGGCTAATTTTGTATTTCTCTTGTTTTCTTATGTATGTTTGTTAGGACTTTCTCATTCGGACAATCTTTCCACAAGCATTCTTATTTAGAATGTTGTCAATTAATTGCAAACTATTGCTCATAACT